CCACACGGCCCGCCCACTCCCCGGAGCCCAGGCTCCCGCAGGGCGCTGCTCCAGGGAGGCCAGGAGGAGCCAGCTGCCCCCATGTCTGCACCTGGGTGCCAGGGAATGCCCAGGAAGCCCGGCTCTCGGAAGCGGGGACAGAGACGGGACGGCTCCGCTCGGCTGAGGGAAGGACTGGCTCCCCCGGCCTCTGCCCGCCTCGCCAGCCACATGACCACGGCCCGCAGATCACGCCCCGTGCCCACGCCCCCTCCTGACCTCTGGACAGATGCCCACTGCTCCCTCACCGCCTGTGCCCCAACCCCCCCACCCCCACCCCGGAGGGGATGGGCCCGCCCACGCTGCCCGCTGAGCACCCAGGGCCTAGCTGCCCAGCCCAAGTCCCCAGCAGAGCAGGGCAGGAAGGAAACCCAGCCATCAGTCCTGGGGAGGGGGAGGGGGCAAAGGCCATTCGGCTGACGAGAAACGGGTGGGCCCTGAGGAATGGGCCACTCGCAGGCCCGCTGGTGAGTTGTGGCTGGACACTGGCCTCCACTGGGATGTCCCTGGCCATGAAGCACAGCCCTCAGCGTTGACGCCCACAGCAGGGGGCGCAGGGGGCGCAAGGGGCAGCCAAGCCCAGAACAGCAGTCAGTAAGCTTGTGGTCAGTGTCGAGGCCTCCACGGCCAGCCCCCCAGCAGGGGGCGTCCTCCACGCTTGGGCTGCCCAGGGAAGCAGGAGGGGCGCGCTCCTGCATCACCACCCCAGCCTCCCGGCCAGGCCCTGGCCCCCAGCCCTCCCTGGGACAGCTGGACCTGATATCCTCCATCTCCAGAGGCCTCTGAGGCAGCCATGTGGGGACCCTGCCCGCAGGAAGGAACCAGAGTGGAATCAGCCTGGGGCTTCCCCACCAGGCCTGTGAGGAAGTGGGGTGCTGCCGTCTAGCGCAGAGGGGGATTGGCAGAGCAAGACCTTGAGGTGCCCCCCAGGTTAGGGTTTCCCCCACCCTAAGTGCTGTAAAGGACATGACCAAACGGGGTCAGGTGGCCGCGTCACAGTCGCTGGGGAGCGGGGCGTGGGGGAGGCCCGCAGCAGGCGCAGTACGTTCCCAGCGTGCGGCCACCCCGCCTGGCACACCTTGTCCTGCAGCCTTTCCCGCAAGTCAAGGCAAACTGAGGAGGAAGTCGACTGGGCATTCATTTAGCTCCATAAATGTCACCGTGCAACTCGTCCACAAAACGGATCAATACAGTAAAAACGTGGTGAGGGACACTGCTCCGGTGCCCTCCTGACACACCGCTTCTGAAAGATGACGGAACACGCGAATCTCAAGAGCAGCTGCAGACCGCGGGAGAAGCGGCCGTGTGGGGCCCGGGGGGGGAGGGGGCGACGTCACAGGGAAGAGCAGTCACCGCCGAGAAAGCACGACCCTGCTGCTGGCCGCCTCACTCAGACAGGCACGGTGAGGCCCAGAGAGGGCCGGACACTAGGCTAGTGACCTGGACCCGGGCCGTGGCTCGAGGCTTTGTCCCACCAGAGAACAGGACGCCCACCGGCAGGCTGAGCCAGCCCCCTGCCACGCTCCCGCTGCCCGCTAGCTCAGCTCCGGCACAGGACTGGCTGTGAACGCAGCTGGGGACGAGCCAGCCAGGCTGTGGGGACGCCGCCTGCCCTAGACAGACCCTCCCAGGGCATGGCGAGCTGACAGTGTCCACGTGGACCTGGAGATTCTTGATGTGGTGGGGTCTGGGGTGTGACAGGGACACCTAAGGGCCAGGCTGGTCGGCTTTCGGGGAGACACAGCTGGCAGTCCTTTTCAAGGGAACCTGGGACAGGTTGGACACCGACATGCCCTCCAGTCTTCCTTCCCCAGGCGCTGCCCTCGACACCGAGGGCCCTGGAGCAGCAGGGATGCAGGCGACACTGGATGGAGCTCGCCGTGCGCGGCAGGACAGCGACCAACCCGCCAGACAGACCCAGGCGCTGTTGCGGCCTCTGCTCCCCGGCGCCCGTGGAGGCCCCCGGCCCTCTCCGCTGCCTGGTCACACTGAGGGGACAGCCACTGTCACTGCAACACCTCCCGGGGCATCACCCGCCCATCGCTTTACAAACCAGGAAGCACTTGGGGAGCCCAGACGTCACACGCATGTGACAAAGTAGCAAACGCAGGGACCAACGCTCGAGTGTAACACGCTTTCCAAAATGGGGGCTCAGGGCCACCTGAGCGGTGACAATGCAGTCACCTGCAGACCACTCGCCAGGTGGAGGGCACGCAGCCACACGTGCAGGACTCGTGTCTCGTGTCCGTCACCTTCCGGGTGTCCCCGCCAGGGAACGTGCACGAGGCAAACTCCCGGGGTGACACCGATGGCCTGGGCCTCTCTCTACTTGTCATGACTCTGCGGTGTACACTTCAGGTCCGTGCACCTGTTTGCAAACTGTACCCAAGGGAGCCACCTTACGACACACAGGCCCAGTCCTCCAGGCAGCTGGCGGTGCCGGGGTCTGGGGGCCGGTGCGAGATGCTCCCGGCCGCGCCCCTCCGACTCAGCCACACGCCTGGAGAGGCGTGCGGGAAGGCGCTGGGGAACCGGGCGGCAGTGGGTCTTCAGGTCCCTCCGCTCGGCAGACTAACGAGGGGTGAGCAAGGCTATGACTCACGGTCGCAGGGACCGTCGGCTCCCTGCAGCAGACACATGGGGGACTGAGGGCGGGGACCCCTTAAACTGCTCCGCCGTTAAACACCGTCAGGTGAGGAAGAATGAAGTGACATCAGACTTGCTCAACAGGTGTTGTTTATTAAGGCTCGTGCTCTCCCAGAGGAAGTCGCCGACGGCCGTGACCCGTCCGGGCAGTGACAGTGCAGACGGGGAGCTGTGCACACACGTCTGAACGGCACGGGGGCTCGGGGGGCCCTCCAGAGCGGAGTCTCAGGAGGGTCTGCTCCCTCCGCGGGGAGCCCCACCATGGGCGGGCGCGCAGGCAGACGTGGAACCACCGTCACGCTCCAGCTCCAGGGGACGGCGACTGTCCATGGTCCCTCATTCCGCAAAACATGACAGCAAACTCAGGTCCTGAAAGGTTCTTTTGCTCTTTTTACCCAATCGACAGGAAAAAGATTCGGACGCACGGTGAAGCCTGCGGTGGCAGCACCATACCCTGCGACCCGCTGTCGGCCTCCTCTCGAGCTCAGCACCACGGGCACGGAAACGAACACAGCCCTGGGGCTCCCGAGTGACAGGAACGAGTGACACGCACACACCGAGGCGTCCGGACATGCCGGGTCCCGCCGTCACCCCACCAGAGTGGCCACTCCGGGGGTGCGAGACTGCAGAAGGGACGGGCCCCCCAAATGCGGAAACCACAACGCATCCCTCTGCCCAGCAAAGACCCACGGGCGCGGGAGCATCGCAGAGGTGGCCGACAGTGAGAACCGCAAACCAGCCCGACGCGGGGCGGGGCCTGCTGTCTTCGCCACCGTGATGAGAAGTGTTTCACCAAGACACACTACGTGACACGACTCAGGGTCACCGGGAAGCAGCGAAGGCTGAGGGGTGACGTACCGTGTAACGTGAGTGCAAACGTAAGAATGAGAACGTAATTTCTGCTAAAATAAAGAACAATCTTTGGGGCGTGTGTTCGTTCTTGTTTGTTTTTAAAGATACTTGTAACTCGCATTAGGTCAATCTGACCGATAAACTGGTGAAGACCACCCTCCTTTATTAGTGAGTTCTGTAACGCGACAACACATAGAAAAATGCAGGTGGACGCAGGCCCCCGGCAAAAGTGAGCAGGGAGGACGTGAGGACGCGGTGCGCCGGCCCGCACGACAAGCCAGCGGCCGACGCCAGGACAGCACCAAGCGCACGGGTCCTCAGACGTGAGACCACGACGGAACTGGCTTCTGCTCACTGCTTGCTTCGATTCTGCCGTTCCTGCCGAGAGAGAACGAGAGTTCAGCACGCGGACTGGACGTGCACAGCCCCTCAGAACCGCGGCCACAGGCCGGGACCCGTGCACCCGCTGGACCACCCACGCCCAGCCAGGCTGGCACCCGGCACTTGCCTCCACCTGGCCTGTGCATCCCCACCTACGAGGAGCCAGCTCGCCCAGGAGGTGACAGCCCGTGGCTCCCAGCTGGGCCTGCTCCTTAGTGGGGCTCTGCACGCTGCTGCTGCCACACTCAGCTGGGGCTGCGGGGACAGCACGGAGGGCGGAGCACACGTCTCAGCACCAGGGCGCTTCCTCCGTCCCACCAGTGTGAAGCTACAAAGGGCACCGGGTGATGACAGGACTCCCAGCACACGGGGTCACCTGACACTTGAGGGACGAGACAAAGCGAACCCCGCCTCTTGCTAAAACGACTGACTGCGTCTTGGGCCTGACAAATAACAAGACACAGATCTGGCCCCACACCCTGCTCCTCGCCCCACCCCTGAAGAAGGGAGCCCGCGGGAGCCGGGAGCCGGCTCTGGCCGGGTGAGCGAGCCTGAGCCTGAACTTGGCGCCCCCCGGGCAGAACCCTGGCACCGCCCACCTCTGCCGGGCTCTGCGGCCGGAGCGCCCGTGATGACAGGACGGCGGTGGGAGCCCCACAGGCCTCCCGGGGAGCAGCCTGCCCTGCTCGCTCCTCAGCCCGCCTTGCCAGCTCCTGCCACACCGGTCCGGTGGGGGACAGGACTCTCCAGCTGAACTCTCGCCGCGCTGTCAATGTGCCTGGACGAGGGACTGCAGGTCGGAGCCCGCACCCCCCTAGACCCGCTGACGACGCAGCTGCAGGGTCCGGCCTCCTGAGGGCACCTGTGCGTGTCAACTGGAGCCCAGGACAGGACAGGACAACAGGCCTGCCCAGCGTCCTCGACCTCTCACTTAGAGCTGGGTCTGTTCTGAGGTGTCCTGAGCACCTCCCTGCCATGCGAACTGCCCGGGGGGCCGCCTGCCAGACCCCGCCCAGTGGACCCTCCCGCAAGCCGGGTTCCCGCCTCCAGCTCCGGGGTGAACTGGCGACCATGACGCAGAGCGCCCTGGCAGGAGGCTCTGGGGCAGGTCCACGTCGTACAGCGAGTTTGAGTGGTCTGAGATGCACGGGGACAGCAGCCACTCAGGGCCCCTGCCTGTCGCGCCCAGCAGCACGGAGACGCGTGAGCCTGGCGAGGCAGCGGTCTGTCCCGCAGGCCCCTCTCCGGGCACTCCGGCAGGATGCCCAGTGAGGCGTCACAGGAAGGCGACGGGGGGCACCCATTTGCTGATATGCTGGTAGAATTTCAAGTGCCTGTTGAGCCGGCTGCAGGAACAGCTCGAAGCCACGTGCCTGACCACAGGCTGTCCCCTCCCGAGACCCGGTCCCCAACGGGCATAGGCATCTAAGGGGCTGGCCCCACGCAGGTTTCAGGAGACGAGGCCCCTGAAACTAACCGGGTGAGGGGCAGAGGTTTACCCCAGCTCATCACACCTTAGGGACCCAGTGAGCACTGGGCGAGCGCCAAGTACCACGGCATTTACCATGAATACACACACGGCCATGGTCCCAGGGGACAAAGGACCTCAAGCTGCATGACCAACATGCTGTCTGCCCCTGCAAACTCCGCAGGTGTACCTACTTCAGGTATTCCACGCCACACCTGAGAGCTGAAACAGAGTCTCAGCAGCTGGACAGATGTGACGAGCACAGACGGAAACATCTGCAAACCTGAGCTGTGACACTGCATGTGACTTACGACTGCTGCCACTAAGCGCTCTCTCGAGGCCCGTCTACGTGCCTCCCTGCTAAAGATGCTTGATGCTCACAGGTGCAGTGCTTCTCCTAACAGAGAACCGGAGAATGGGTGAAGACCCATCTACGGTCAACTGATGTTTCAGAAAAGAATGTTTTAAAAACAGAATAAAACCTAGGAAGAAGTCTCAGGGCAAACTCTCAAAGTAAGCAGCTTCTCGAGTGTGTGGCACTGTCCCCTTCCCCGGTGTCTGAGCCAGCCCGGGGCAGCTGGGCCTGCGCTCTCTGGAGCAGGCTGCACGCGGGCAGGCTGGGCATGCAGGCTCTGGGGTGCCCTGTGCACACCAGACCGGCCGGACAGCGGCTGTAGACTGCCTGTGTCCCCTGCCCCCGCCACCCTACTAACGACAGAGCGAGGTCAGCTTCTCCAAAGCTGCGGGACAGGGCTTCGAGAGGAAAAAGCAGCAACGAGCTGCAGAGCAGAGCTGCCGATGGCAGAGGGCGGGGTCTGGAGGCCTCGCCATCTGCCCCGGAGCGGAGAACGTGCTCCTGCCCCGGGGAAGACCAGGAAGGCCGTCCTAGGATGATGCCGACCCGCAAGAAAAAGGCGTGCGTTTCCCTCCAGCCCCTCACGGCAGGGTCTGCACTGTGGGCCTGTCACTGTTTCTCAGAGGGAGGACGGGTCAGCAGGTGTGCGGTGACGCTGCTCCAACGGCCCCACGGGGGTCTCCGGAGCTGGGGAAGCCCCCGCCGCCCGCCCCGCCAACTCACCTTACGTGCCCCCTCCTCCTCCTCCTGGCGCTTCTCGTAGTGGGAGAAGTCGTCGAAGATGGAGGTCGTGTGCTTGTAGGAGGCGATGATCTTGAGCACTTGCTTTGCCTTCTCCAAGGGCACCTCCTGGGTGTCGCGGGAGTTGGTGACGGGCTTGTAGTCATTGTTCTCCAGCCGGATGTGCCGCAGCTGGTTGTTGGGCACGTCCTTGACAAAGATCCACTTGACGTCGAACTTGCCCTTCCACTTGTCCTGAGACCAGACCCCCGCGCTCGTGCCGTAGTCCACCGGCGACTTCATCTCGGCCACCCCGCAGAAGTGGCCGCTGCCGTTGACGCTGAAGAGCAGGTAGACGGGCCCCCGGCTGCCGATGGAGCGGAAGGCGCCGTCCAGGCGCTTGTTGCCGTGCTCCGTGCTGCACCAGATGGAGTACTTGATGGAGCGGTGCACGTCGTCCTCCGAGTAGCTTTTGATGATGAACACGCGGCCGCTCCGGAGGTTCCAGTCGAACTCCTTGGGGTTGTAGCTGTGGGCGGCCTTCAGTTTCTCCAGAATGGGGTGCGAGTCCACGCTCGGGGCAGAGCTGGGCAGGGCGCTTCCGGGAGAGTGACCGTCACCCCCGGTCCCGGCGCCCGGCCCGAGCGCTGCACTCCGGCTGCGTGGGGCCACCCAGCGCGTCTGGGGCGGCTGCGGGGGGCTCTGCTGCTGCACTTGGGCCGAGGGCGGGGCCTGAGCAGGCAGGGGTGGCACGGCCGGCGGGGGCGCTGGGGCAGACTGGGGCGCTGGGGCCTTGGGCACAGGCCCCTTGTTATCCCAGGTGCCGATGTCCATGTTATGCTTTATGGGGGGAGGGGGCAGTGCGCCCCCGATGACAGGCCCGCCCTTGGCTTTCATTTTCGGTTGTGGCTTTGCCGGTTTGCTGGCGATGGCGGCCCACGAAGTCGCCTTCGAAACGGGCATGCTGACGTTCGTCCCAGCGTTGCCAGTGAGCACACCGGTCATGGCCACGCTGCTGACAACCGAGCCCACCGTCTTGACTGCGGAGGCAGTGACGTCGCCGACCTTCAGGCCCACCAGGCCCTGCTCCAGGCCGCTCACCCCTGGGGCCTTGCTGAGGCTGTCACTGGCGAAGCCGGCCTGCCCGTCCACAACAGAGCCACCCAAGGAGCTCGGCGGGTAGGCGTAGCTGCCCCCGTAAGCCGAACCCTGGGCCTGCTGCCCCTGTGCCCCGCCCGCCCCCCAGGCGGAGAAGGGAGGGCTTTCTGGGAAGAAGCTGAGCCTGTGCTGGTAGATGCTGCTCCCCAGGCCCCCAGGCTGCCCGAACACGGCATCATGCATAAAATGGTGGTCCCCGTTGCTGAGCTGTCCATAGGTGGTGAGGTAGGGGACAGGGGGGTCCCCTCCAGTGGACCACGGCGCCTCGCTGAGAGAGTAAGGGAATCCGATGGACGGCGGGTAATAGCTGGGCAGGTAGGGGTCGGCCATGGACGGGTAGCTGTTACTCTGCAGAAACAACAGGTGACAAGTTTAGGGGACACCTGCTCAAGTGCAGGCTGGGGAGCAGTAAGACTGGACAGCAGCGCCAGCATCCCGCCAGGGACATGGACCCCACGAGCACAGAGCCAGAGCAGAGGCCGTGGGGGATGCAGCCAGAGGCTGTCTCCATACGCACGGCACCCCCCGCAATGGTCTGGACACAAGTTCAGTGACCAAGCTCAGCCCGACAGCCATCCACTCTACCTCGAGGAGCCCACGCGAGGCCCCAGCCTGGCGGGCGCTGACAGCGTGGGCAGCTCGGCGGAAGTGAGAACAGCTCCCGCAGTGCAGGGAGATGCTCCTGACAGCAGGCGGGGCCCCCTGGCTACAGATGGGTCCCATAGACAGGCTCCGAGCGACCCCTCCACCCTTGGCCCATAGGACCCTTTGTGCCCCGACCCGTCACGGCCACTTTAGATGCTCCTTGCACATGAGGCAAGAGCGGGCGGGCCACCTCCAGTCCCAGTGCCGCCTGGGCTCACCAGTGGGTCGGACGGCACGAGGCCCTGCGGCCCGGCTCTGCCGCCCACAGCAAGCGCCCTCTGTGTGGCGTGGGCCAGGGCCGGAACGTGGCTGGACCACGAGGTAGCAGGGCTTCAACTGAGGGGCTCCAACAAGGTGCCCGGGCGCACGTGAAACTGAATCAGTGGGCCCGGAGGTGCCCGCCGGAGAGGCTCACTAGGGGTTTGGCCACCGAGGCGGGAACGGAGACGGCGTCGCAGAGTGCTCACTGCGGGCTGAGCGGAAAGGCTGCGAGAACGAGAGTCGGGCCGACGCCGAGCTCTCCCACCCATGACGCCAACTTCCGATTCCTTAATAGGCCCCCACCCGCCCCCACCCCTCCAAGAACAAGAAGGTTCCCACGGACAGTGTCGGCTAGAAGCCTCCCATGCCAATCTGTCTTCAGGAGAGAGGGCCCACCGCCTGGCCCCAAGGGTGGCTGGAGTCCCGGGTGTGGCCTGCAGCCCTGGACCCGAGGTGGGAGATTCGGGGGTGGGATGGGGGGTGAACACCAGACAAGCAGCTCAGCTGCACTGGGAAGGGGGTAGGGGGGGTCTCTGGGCCCCCCAGAGGGCCCTGTGGAAAACAGGCCGGTCCCACAACACATCCCAGCCCGATATGTGACACAGTGACCATGGTGAAGCAGCCACCTGGTTGCCATCTCCACGGCCACCTCCTGCCTCCCCGTCCCACCCTGGGGTTCTTGGGCTCAGGGGTCAGACTTCCTTCCTGTGGCTGCTCCCCCTGCCCCGGACTGTTCCAAGGCCACCTTTAAGATGCAACAGTCACTGCGTCCCGTGACAAAGCCTGCGGTCTTGGGGAGTGAGGAGCAGAGCGCGGGCGCCCGCAGGGTTCCGTCTGCGTGGCTTGAGCTGCCTGAAAGGGTTTCGGTGGCTCCAGTCACTGTACCGTCAGCCCCTCCTCAGCGCGCCTCACCTGCCCTGGACTCTCCAAGCAACCTGTCCTGTGGGCGGGTGGGAGACGGGAGGGGGAGGGGGATGGCAGCCCCGGGCCTGAGCCTCTGACCAGGGTGCAGACACACAGCAGGACAATGTGACAGTCGTTCAGCTGGGTACACTCTCCTGGCCATGCCACATAACAGCAACGCAAACCCCCTCACCCACGAGGGCCTCCCTCCAGTCCTGGCTGCCCTACACGTGAGCTTCAACCACGGAAGGCCCCTCGACACCCATCTGAGATGTCACTGCTCAGCAGACACCTGGCATCCCGGTCACACGACGCCCCCGGGCAGACAGGCAGCTCTCAGCTCCTGGCAGCCAGGACTGGACATGCAGGGAAAGGCAGAGCCCCTGCCGGCGTCGCCTGAGCCCTCTGTGTCCAGCCAGGGGTCAGACCACGGCAGGGATCTGTCCCCATCATCTGTCCAGTGCACGTCACTGTGAGGTACGCACCAGTAAAGGTGCAGCTTCTGGAAAACTCATGACACTGCCTGGACCGCAGCTCTCTCTAGAACGTCCCAACTCACGCGAGAGGCACCGAGGAGCCTGAGTCCCAGACGGAGCAGCCGTGCTTGGCAAGCGGCTGCAGTCCACTGGGGCCACCCTGTGCTGCCACGTCCAGGGCCCCTGGGCACAGGCCTCGGGGGGCAGACCAGCACAGGTGGGAGCGGGCCCTGTCCCAGCCCTGTCCGGCCGAGGCTGCGCGGCAGACTGTGGCCGTGAGCAGTGACCGGTGCCGTGAGGCCAGCGCCCATTACCGGGCCTTGTTGGCGGCCCGTTTCCTACTGCCCCTGCTGCGCTTCCTCTAAGATTCTAGAAGTAAAAGGAACCTGGAGATGCCACCTGCGTGCTGTGGGGATGACCACGGCCTCCTGCCTCGCCGCCGGCCTGTCCGCAGTGGGCAGGGCCCGAACCCACGGGAAGCACGCGCCGCGAAGCTGGCCACACTCAGTGTGCACCGGGCTGCAGCCCGCCAGCCAGCACTGCAACGCCCAGCACCGGCTCCCAGACAGGACGGGACACGACGCGCCGACCCACGCACGCCTCGGGGGGCCCGCGTCACACCGAACGAGCTCTCCCCTCGGTCGACCGGCACCTCACTGTGACCGTGGAAGTGCGTTTACCAGGACACGGTGCATGCAACGAAAGTCCCCAGCTGCTCTAAGCGCAGTGACGCCTCTGAGCAGGTGTCTCGTTCTGGAAGGAACGGACCACGCAGGTGAGACCACGCCCATCACTGGTGCTTTCACAGCGAGACTGCGAACTGCAGCCTCTGCTGCAGCTCAGGTCACACCCAGTGAGACCTCCAGGCACAGTCTCCTGACGTCAGGGAAGACAGAGTCCAAGTGCTGGACTCTGAGGGAGCATCCTGGTGGCTAAAAGAAACGGTGAACATGAGGACGTGCGAACAAGACAAACTTCGAACTCTGATCAGCATCCCTGCGCTACTCTCTCTGGAAAACCAAGCGGCAAACGCAGCAAAGCGATGACCCTACCACAGACCTGAGTTTTTCGTACTTACTAAAACTTAACCACATTAAAGACGCTGTCCTTCCGAACGACCAGAACCGTTTAAAGTTGAGACATGTGCTTCCTATACCCGCTTTTCTGAGAAAGAAGAAATTCTGAGATTACTCAAGAGTTTTCAGTTTCACAAACAATAAAGTGGCTCAGCCGCTAGTGGCCAAGGGCAGGGACTTGGGGGGAGCAACAGACCCTTCAGACCCAGAAGGGGACAGACATTTCTGTAGAGAGTCCAGAAGCGTTTACTTAAAAACGGGG